GCTTTGTCTGTTCTATGGTGAGCCAGTGTGAGTTACCCCCCTAGAACATCAGGCTCTCCACACTCACGTAGCACAGGGAATGCTTTTCAGCTAGCAGAGAGCTGGAACCAAGCCCAGTAGTGAGAAGACACTCAGTTACCCCAGATTTGGGTCCAACTGTGTAGAAAGAGGTGCATTTTAATCCACATCCCTCCATGTGTTGCAAGGGGGTTGTAAGCAAGGTCAGGAATGTGGTATCCATGTACCTGGGCTGAGCTTACCTGGTTCCTTCCCTATCAGCCTCTGAAAAGAATGAGGAACTTTGGAAGGCAGGTGATGGGATCCTCTTGCCACCAGCCCTTTCATGTCCTTCTGGACTGCAGCAACAGCTGTTGCCTTCAAGCCTAGGGGAGAGATGGGTGGATTTGGTGAGCATGGAGTGTGCCAGGATGATGCTGTGCTGCTCCACATCTTTGTTGGAAGGTCATTTGCAGCTAAGACCAAGCCTACCCTCTTGGTCTCTCCTGCCACAGCTGCAAGGAGAGGACTAGAGGGAATGGCCTTAAGCTGAGACAGGGCAGAGTCAGAGGCGGTGTTAGGAGAAATGTTTTCCCTGTGACAGTATTCAGGCACTGAAATGTTGCCCAGGGAAGTGGTGGAGTCACCATCCCTGGAGGTGTTTAAGAGGCATCTGGATCTGGCACTGGACGATATGGTTTAGGGGTTACAGCAGTGACAGGTTAGTGGTTGGACTCAATGATCTTAGAGGTCTCCTCCAACCTTGATGATTCTATGATCTTCTAATCTATGATTTTCTTCCCTATGCATGGTACAACATGAGGGGACAACAGATGTGCCATTCCTAAGGGAATGCCCATCCCATGCACACTCCTTTAGGACCCTCTTTCCTGCCTGGTTCCCCGAGGCTGAGGGGAGGTGAGTGGTGCTTACCTGGCAGATGATTGTGGGCAATGCCACAGCACAGCTTGGCAGTGGCTCTGAGCATGGCACAGGAGCAGGGACACGTCTGGGAGCTTTCTGCATCCCCAAGAGCCTTTATAGCAAGCCTGAAGGACACAGGGCAGAGGGCGGTGTTAGGAGAAATGTTTTCCCTGTGACAGTATTCAGGCACTGAAATGTTGCCCAGGGAAGTGGTGGAGTCACCATCCCTGGAGGTGTTTAAGAGGCATCTGGATCTGGCACTGGACGATATGGTTTAGGGGTTACAGCAGTGACAGGTTAGTGGTGGGACTCAATGATCTTAGAGGTCTCCTCCAACCTTGATGATTCTATGATCTTCTAATCTATGATTTTCTTCCAGTATTCAGGCACTGAAATGTTGCCCAGGGAAGTGGTGGAGTCACCATCCCTGGAGGTGTTTAAGAGGCATCTGGATCTGGCACTGGACGATATGGTTTAGGGGTTACAGCAGTGACAGGTTAGTGGTGGGACTCAATGATCTTAGAGGTCTCCTCCAACCTTGATGATTCTATGATCTTCTAATCTATGATTTTCTTCCCTATGCATGGTACAACATGAGGGGACAACAGATGTGCCATTCCTAAGGGAATGCCCATCCCATGCACACTCCTTTAGGACCCTCTTTCCTGCCTGGTTCCCCGAGGCTGAGGGGAGGTGAGTGGTGCTTACCTGGCAGATGATTGTGGGCAATGCCACAGCACAGCTTGGCAGTGGCTCTGAGCATGGCACAGGAGCAGGGACACGTCTGGGAGCTTTCTGCATCCCCAAGAGCCTTTATAGCAAGCCTGAAGGACAGCACCTGGTGATAGGAACATACTGCCAGATAGCAGCTGCAAGAAGGAGTGCTCAAGGACAAGGCAGGAGGAGGGGCTGGAGGGAATGGTCAGGATTCCCTCTGAGTGAGCACTCCTGCCTTGCTCCCTGCCCTTTGCTATGAATGAACCTCTGGTCATGGCTGAGAGGGGATATTGAGTGGTCCCCAGTGCCACTTGGTCAAGGACTGTGGGGGCAAAGGCAAACTGGTGGTGCTTGCCTGGAGGGAAGGATGTGTTGGGAGAGGAGAGCAATGTGGCTTTGCTCTCAGGGAGAGCGGAAGCTGCTTCAAAGCCTCATGGCAAATGGTGCTTCCTATGGAGACTTCAGGGATATTATGGTGGGGATTCATGCTGTCATCCCTCAAATGTTTTATTTTCCTTTTTCGTACTTTAGGCCCTTCTAAATGTCTCCTGCAGAGCTCTGGTGCCCAGGGTGGTGGTGTGACCACTATGTCTTTCAGCATGACATGACTCAGTCCTTCCCTTTGTGTTTTGAAAGGGCCTTAAAGAGGCTTTAATGGCTCTTAAAAGGTTAAAATCAAACCCTACTAGGTCACTCCTTAAAATGCTGGATTCCTCTGGACCTTTGCAGTACCTGCTTTACCAAGTGCTTGATTTTCACCATGGAAAAGCTCTTTCACCTGTGTGTTGCCATGGGGTTGGATGCTTCCCTTTCACACAGCATCACTGCAGCTCATTGCAGCTTCAGTCCCTGAGGCTGCAACAGCCAAAAGATTTAGGCAAGGAGGAATTTTTTGCTTTCGAAGGGATAGGAGAGACTTCAAGGCTTGCAACACAGTGTGGTTGTGGCGAGTGGATTTCTTGCTGGGATGGCCAAGGCCAGGTTGGATGGAGCTTGGAGCAACCTGGCCTAGTAGAAGGTGTCCCTGCCTATGACATGGGGTGGAAATAGATGAGCTTTAAGGTCCTTTACAACCCAAACCATTCCAGGATCCTATGAGATGGGTCAGAGTACTTGTCCCCATGTCACTCTTGTCCCCTCATCCCACATGGGAACTGGGGCTCTGGCTGTCTCTCCAAACACCTTCTGCACTGTTATGTTCCTGTAGGAAGCATCACATACCTACAATACTTGCACTCTCAGCCACAATGGAGTAGGGGGAACAGTTTCCTAGGAAAACTTCAGCTCTTTTGCCATGGTTTTTGGCCCTGCTGTGCCAGAGGCTTTGATCCCAGCCCTGTTTGATCCCAGTCAGTTCCCCAGCTCCCTGACTGACCCACCAACACCAGCTCTAAACTTCTCCCCAGCTTTTCCTGCAGGAATAACCTGATGGCACAGCTGCTGTGGTTTGCCCAGCTGAGTCCCATTGCAGCTTCACAGCTTTATACCTCCAGTCCTGATTGCTGGGCAGGCTAGACCAGCAACCCTGTCAGGTACTGGTCCTTGGTGCTCCACTGCTCTCCTGTAGACTGCTCCAGAGGGACTCCAGGGTGTTGTGGCTCCTGGATAAATGCTTCTGTACATGTTCCAGGCTTTCAAGGAAGCTTTGCAGGTATGCTGGTGTGGTGTACCTGTCCCAAGGCAGCTGCAAGCTCTGCAGCAGAGCTTTGGGATGTACAATTGCAGCTCTACATGAGGTTTTCTATTGCAACAGTTCAGTGCTGGGGTGTACTAGCTGCTTTAGTGAGCTGCAAACCACTTTGGTTTGGGTTTTTCCTGGAGTCTAGGCAGCCACTGGGGCCCAGCAGTGAGGGAATACAATGTTTTGTATTACAAGCAGCCTAGGAGGGAGAGAGCAGTGGCTGATCGGTTCTGCCCCAGTGCTTCAGAGCTACCCCTCTGCTAGCTCCTGGTTAGGGCTGTCCCTGCCCATGGTGTATCCTCTCACACACATTTCCCTCACTTTTGTACATGCTTTCTCCTGTTAGTTTTGTCTCTGCCACCAGCTGAATAGACAGGCAGATAATGCTTTATCAGCCCATTTGCTGGGAGGTGTCTGTACCCTCTCCTGAGAGCTGTACGAGATGTCCTGGGGATAGAGCCTTGCAGGGGAAAAGCAAATGTGGAATATTGCCTGTGGTGCCAAGGCTGGAGGCCAGGACAGGGCAGCATTGCCACCTGGACCCCAGTTCAGAGCAGTGAGGGCTGCCAGGAGCCAGCCCTGGTCTGTCCCAAGGGTCCCACTGTGTTGTGTGCTCGTTGTGAGACACCCCTGGGCTTGGGTTTGGGTCTGACACCTCCATGGGGTTTGTCTGCAGCCACTGGATGTCACTGCTGATCTGCAGCTCCACAGGCAGAGCATCTCCTGGAGAGGCAGTAGGAGCTCTGTTCTCAGCTGCTGCCTCTGGCCTGTTCTACCTCTCCCACTCTGGGAGCTGGGGAGAGCCTGTTCTGGGGTGTCTCCACCAGGACTCACATCTGGCATCTCAACCCTCCCTGATGATCCCATTCCCCTGGGTCAAAGGACCCTTTGGAGAGTCTGAGGTCTTGGGACAAATGAGGCTCAGGGGGACCTTATTGCTCTCTAACCTGCCAGGAGGTGCAGCCAGGTGAAAGTCAGGGTCTGCTCCCAGGGAATAAGTAATGAGATGAGAGGAAACGCCTCAGGCTGTGCCAGGGGAGGTTTAGATTGGATATGATGAAGTCTTCTCATGGCAGCAGTGGAGTCACCATCCCTGGAGGGATAAAGGACATATGGATGTGGCACCTGTGGACACATCCAGGTCCCTTTCTGCCCACTTTGACCGAGGTAGCTCCACTCCAGCTTTGTGGGGACAATACCACCTGTGCTGGGGGTTTGGGGTTGGGAGGTCCCTTCTAGGAGGATTTGGAGCCACTGCCAAAGCAATGGGTGACTTGTCCCATGTCCTTTCACTGTCTTTGCTGTTTGAGCATCCAACCGGGACTGGGAAAAAAGATCTCCTGGAGAACTTCAGGATTCAGTGGCTGAGCAGCCAACGAAGCTTCCAGCAGCCATGCAAACTGGTAAGATCCTTATTGAAATGTCCTCATCATTTTCAAGGGAACTAGAAGCACATTTCCGGCTCCAATCCCAGCTGTAGGACTTGGTCCCTCTGGCAGGACTAGAAGTTAAACTGATTTAGGGTTAACCTCAGCTGAATGACAAATCTGCCTCTCTGTCTCTTTTAGGGAAGGAGAAAGGGAAAGGGAGCAATGAAAAAGGTACCAAATGGCAGGTGGGGGCCCTGTCTGAGGAGCAAACATCAAGGCCGAGGGTTTGGGGTCCATTAGTCCCTTCCAAAGCCCTGGTGGAGCAGTGGGTTTGGATGGGGATTAAGACACGGGTGATGCAAGCCAGGAGATCTTATAGCAAGTCATCAGGGGGTAAAGCACAGCTGGGTCAGCCCAAATCCTGTCCATCAGGCTAGAGGAGTGGGAATGGGGATGTTCCTGGTCAAAGGGTGAGGCTGGGGATGAGTGGGATTCAGAGCTGCTCTCAGCAGAGCACAAAGGGTGATAGAAGCTCTCAACTCCCATGGTCACACAGGGATCTTCCTGCTCAACCCCAAGGGCAAAGCCCAGGGCAATTCGCTCCCAGTCCTTGGAGCAAGCTCTGAGTGAGACTGCCCTGGGCTCAGCATAGCTCCTGTAATCAGGGGAGGCTCTAGGTTTGAGCAAAGTCTTGGCTGGCCTCCAACACCTTAGCAGGAGTTGGCAGGACAGCACCTTTGCCCCATAGGAACCTCCTGCTGTCACCCCTCAGGGTGCTCTGGGGGGTTCCAGGAGCAGAACTAGTCCTCATAACCATTTGGAAGCCCTGATGTGGGGCACTCAGCTCTGAGGGACCCTAAATACAGAGCTAGAAAGCAGCTCCCTGGGCCATGCTAGGAGTTCCAATCCTTCCCATCCAGAAAAATTAAGTGTCAAACAGAACACATAGAAACACACATGACATTTATTTATGTACATAACCAAAGAGCTCAGAATTAGTGTCTCCAGATGGAAAACCAGAGCAGTTTCCTTCCCCTGAACCAGAAGACTCAGTGCCACATTGTCAGGCTCATAATGTAAAAACTATACTCTTTGTCCCTCTTTTTTTTTCCCCCAAAATCATGTTTTGTAACACAAAAAAGGGTTAAAACTCTTCCCAAGGCACATTATTATCAACAAGGAATGCAGAAATGCTGCTTTTCCCTCCCTCCAGCTGCAGAGGTGTTGGGTGCTGGTGGCTGATAACTGCTTGGGAGCTGAATGCAAAGCAGAGGGACAATATCTGCTCCGAGCTAATTGTAATTGTCACAAATGGGCACCAGAAGAGCCCAAATAGCAGCAGAGAAGAGAAGCTGCTGGATCTCTCTGTGTAGCTGGAACTGCCTTCCAGCATGGAGGGTGGAGGCAAATCTTTTCTCCAGCTGCTGCCTCCACTGCAGTAGAAGGGGAACTGCTGGTCAGGAGATAAGAGGGATCAGAGGCTTGTCCATTAATATGTGAATTTTGGATCAAAACTGAAGAGAAGCTGCAGGCAGAGTCACCTCTGCATTGATGGGTTGGCACTGCAGGTAGAAGTCACCTCTGCATTGATCAGGTTTGGGTCTGCAGGCACCAGCAAAAAGCACATCTGGTATGTGTAGGCCATGAGGATGAGATGGGGGTGAGATCACACTAGTTCACTTTCACACTTTGGGTTGAATAATATCCACCCTGAAAGATGTTTCCTTGAAGTAACAGCTTTATGCTATGTGTCCAAACTGTCTGTGACAGATCTCACATCAAGAAAGGACCATGACAGGTTCTTTACAGCACCTGTATCTGCCCTATAGGATGGGCTCAACCATGAATTACTCATTAAAATATAATACCCAGAGGATGGAGAACTTTTCATCCATCTTGAAGGATGTTTGCTTGAAGTAATAACTTTATGTTATGTGCCCAAACTCTCTGTGAAGATTCTCACAACCAGAAAGGATCATGTCAGTCAAACAGGATCTTTACAGCATCTGTACCTGCTCTACGGGATGGGCTGAGCCACCAGTTATTCATTAAAATAAAATACTCAGAGGCTGGAGAACTTTTCAAACACCTCAGCAGCTTTGAAGTCATCTTGCCCAGCTGAGTGTGGCTAACTTTAGCCCCAGCTCTGTGCCACCTGTTAGGGTTGGAATGTCTGTTTTCAGTGTCTTGCCCCATTCTGGGAGTCCTGATAAGCTCAAAACACCTCTTCAATCCACTCTTTGCAAACACTAAAATGCTTGTGCCCTTGTGGGTTTGAATCACAAGGTGTTTTTCATGACCTCAGGTGGTTCCTGCAGCTCTGCCTGTCTTAGAGAGGGAAAAACATGTGGAATAATTGAAGTGTAGACACTAGAGCAGGAAAGCACCAGCAGCACAGTGCAAATTCCCCCAGGAATAAGAGGATGACACCAAGCCCTGAAGGAGCTGAGCTGCATTTGTATGCAAATAGATGCAAACACCTTCAATTAAGCCAGAAAGAACATACAATAATTGGCAACAGGTTATGAAGTATTTTGTCTTGCTTCTCTGCCTTTCTCCCTGAGGACGGTTCTGGGCTGAGTCTCTGTGGTTGCATAAAAGAAGGTAATTACAAAACCTCACGCTTCCTCCAGAGAGATTTTTTTCCCTATTCCTGGACAATTTGCAGTCACAAAAGCTGAACATTAACTGTGTCATTCACTCCCTCCACTGGGAACCTCCTCCCAGATATGCTCCCTGCTGATAAATGGGGAACAAACATGACATTTGGTGGGTGGTGGAAACATTGCAGGAGCTTTCTTTGGCTCTGAGAAACTCATTCACTTGCACAGTAAGGCTATTTGTCACCAGGACCAGCTTAGCTCCCAGCAAGCCAAGAAGGGCAAGAGCCCAGGTGGGGGAAATCTCATCCTTTGAGGTGTAAGGGCAGGTTTGACTCCTCCAGCCCCAAGCAGGAGGTGCCTCTGGCTGTCCTGCAGCAGTTCCTCTTGTGATCTCTCCCAGTGCTCTTCTGGCAGCAGATTCTGGTGAAGAAGTGATTGTGGAGGAGTTGGGCAGAACTGGCATTTCTCATTGGGCTCATTGAGGGTGGCAGGAGATGGGGAAGTTGTCCAGTCCCAAAGTGCTCTGAGTGCCCTATTCTCTCTCAGCAGGCAGCAGGAGGTTGCAGACCTTGGAGTTGGCCTGGTGCAGGGCAAATTCCCTCCCTGGCATGGTGTTGTACCTGCCCTTCCCAGAGGTGCTGCTCTGGCCACCAACAGACTGGGAAACTCTGAAGGTTTCTCTGGGGGACAAGGTGAGAGCAAATGGTCAGGAGGCTGTGGTGGTGGTGGTGGACCTCCTCCTCTCCCTCCCACAACAGTGCAGTCACCATCTCCTGATGGCCTAAGGGTGGTGCTTCCACCTTTGTCACCATGACCTTGCAATGTCCTGCCCCCATCCCTACCAATTCCAACTCACCTTCATCCAGTAGGTGCACAACCATGAATTCCCTTCCCTTCCCAGGAAATCTTCCTTTATCTCAAGCACATCATGATGCTTCTGCAGTAGCTGGATGTACCCAGGGATTACCTGTATGAGATCTGTTCCTCCCTCAGCTGCAGGCACATGAGCACTGGGCTGTCAGAGAACCTCAGCATGGTGTCAAAGTGGATTGAGGTCTCCACCTCTGTCTGGCTTCTCAGAGTGGCTTGGAGGAAAGGGGAATCTAGTTCTGCCTGGAAATCCATGGTGAGACTTCCCCTGTGAGAGAGAAGTACATGGGGCTGGTCACCAAGCAATGGCTTTGTTGGGCACCATCCACTGGCACCAAACAGTTCTATAAACATCTTCAGTTGAGGTCTGGCCATGGCAAAGGAGTGAGTAGTCAGGAAGGGCTGGAGCCAGGAGGATAAGGTGGGTGCTGAGCCCCCTGGGCACCCCATCCCCAGAGCCAAGCAGTATCCCACACACTGACCTTGTGGTGATGCTGCTTTTCAGCTCCTGCTCCCAAATGCTCAGGGCCAGGTCAGCTGAGATGTCAAGCCCTAGTGCGCCCTGGAGTCTGACGGTCACCTGGAGGCCAGACTGCAGAGGAATGACCTGGAAAATGGAGAAGGCAAAGCTTGCTGTGACCAGGCATTGCTCCTGGCTGAGCTGACACTAACAGTGACCTGTGGCTGCTGGGACTATCCCAACCCTGAATGGGAGGAGCTCCAGCTGTGTACTCCTGTGGCACAAAAAGCCACCCTGCTGTTTGACCAGCTGTGCTGGTTTGAGCTGAAGTAGTGTCACCTCATCCTTAGCCCTGTGGTGTGCAACACCCACTGGCTCATTTCATGGGATTCACTAGGTTTTGGCATGGAGACAACTCACTGTGTCCCCTGTCCAGTACCTGGTGATGGTCCATCAGCAGGAGGTTCCCTTTGACCACACTCATGGGTTCTCCACTGCTCAGCAGGACCTTGGCCATCAGGTCTGTGTATCCCTGGAAGAAGAGGATGGGCCGCAGCTGGACGTCCAAGACGACAGCAGACATCCCAGCTGTGAGTTCTGACTCTTCTTCCCCTTCCAACACACTTTCTCCCATCATGGACTCCAGCCCTTGGGCTTCAGTGATGACCTAGAACATGGAAGGGAAGATGTACAAGCAACATGGAGCAAAGCTGGAGAGTCTTTGTGCCTCATGATGCTATTTGAGTCGCTAGAGCTGTCCAAGCCTTGGGTAGGCACCAAGGACTGGACCCAGAAGGCCAGTCATGGGGTGAGTTGGATGGGGCATCCAACCTGTGCAGCCACAGTGTTGCAGCCCCTGGTTTTTGGGGATTTCCCTGCTCCAGGGCATGTCTGTGTGGCTTCACACTGGTGATAGGGGTGTGAATGTACCTATAGCTGCTATGGGGCACATTGAGTGCACAGGTGAGGTCAAGCACCACAAGGAGGCTGAGGGACCACGGACATGGGGTTGGTGCTGTCACCCCCTCCAGGTGTGCCACAGCCACTGTCCCCCCCTCCCAGCAGCGCACCTGAACTACAGGAAACCTCTGGCCATGGCTGAGCAGGACGAAGTCAGACACACTCTTCCTCAGAAATCCACCCTCCAGGAACAGCAGGTCCAGTCCAAAGGTGGAAAGCAGGTCCTGGGTGGCTGAAAGGCAGAGAAATGCCCATAAGCATCCCTGGGCAGAGCCTGGCACACCTGCTCCAGGGGAAGGTGTCCCTGCCCATTGGAACTCAATGACCTTTAAGGTCCTTCCAACTCAAACCAGTCTGGGATTCTGTGACTGAAAATGAGTCACTGAATGGTGGTGATAAATGCTCTGGGAGCAGAAGCAGGGTTGGAGGCTGTCAAGAAAAGAGCCCATGGGTGGGATGTGCAAGGCCACCGGGTCAGTGCTCAGCAGAACAAGGTGGGTGCTTAGAAGAGCTCATCCAGAGTGATTGCAGGAGTTGGAAGGTCCCTAGGGATGTCTAGAGTAGGATGCTGATCCTGGTCATTGTAAGCCTCCTCAATAGAGTGTGGCTGGGACTGCAGGCATGAATTTCCTGTGTTAGCCATTCCACATCTGACAAAGCTTCATGATTCAGAGAGGAAAACTCTGCACCTTCTCCTTCCATTCTTGCAACTCAAAGGATTTAGCACTGCAAGGTTGGTTTTTCCCTCCAGGTGTTGGCTATTCCTTCACTGATCCCCCGCAAGGCTAGGCTGAGTTAATTTGAAGAGGGACAGAAGTGAGAGCTGAGGGACAAAGAATTCAGCAGATATTCAGCAAGTGTTGCTTGTTGCCTTCTCTCTGAAGTCAGACTTTGTTTTATCTCAGCACAAGGATTCTCCTCTTTGAAGAGTTTATTAAAGACACCAAAGGAACTGAGGAATAGAGTGAAATATCTTGTCTTAGGAAAGGCACAGAAACTCCCACCTACAACCTATCACTGTTTTTAGCTCCTGCTGAGGCTCCTCTTATGCATTAGCAGGATGTGCTGGAAGGATGTGCCCCAGCCCACCTCTCCTGCTGCAGGGCTGGGAGAGAAGGGCAGGTATGTGTTTTGGGTGCTGGGGGACACCCTCAGAAACATCACACCAACATTTTGGGGCATCCTATAGAGCTGAAGCCTCTTCTGGAAGCCTTTCCCCACCAACCCTTCCCTTAGCCCCCTGAGGGGACCATGGGATCAGTGTCCTCTGTGTTGTCACCTGTCAGAGGTGCTGAGAACGAAGAGGAGATGCCAAGTTTGGAGAAGAAGTTGTAGTTGTTTATCCGTGGGTCTCCCAGGACCACTTTCCTGATCTTCCTGGGAGCAAGAGAGAAAGGGATGTCAGCACTGGGAGGAAGGGAAGGGGAGAGGTCAGTGGTCATTGTAGGAAGTGTGCAAAGAAGGGAATATACCTTTCCTGCCCAGGTCAGTGTGAGCAGGAAAGGAAAGGAGCAGCTATGGCTCCCCTGGAATTTCCCTCTCCTCTGGTTTGTTAGGATAAACCAGGCAGATATTTTGGTGCAGTTTTGGCTTAGCTCTGGAAATTGTGAGTCCTCAGGTTATTTTGTGCAGATTGGGAGATTAAGGCAGGTCCAAAGTGTGCACTGCCCTGGGAGTCACAGTTTGGCCTCCAAGGACACTGCTGAAACCACGAGGCTGAGTCCTGCTGCCATGGAGTGGGACAAGGAGGGACAATGGGGTTTGGGTGTCTCTGGATGGCATCTATATCCCTTCTCTTCCTCCAGGAATTTTCATGGCACATCACTTCCAAGAAGTGATGCTAGCACATCTTAAAGCTATGCTGGGCCAAACCTACAACTGGATTGTGGAGGAGGAAAAAGTGATGTAGAGCAGGGCAAAAACACAACCTTCGTCTCCAGACCCACCTGGCTGGGTGGTGGTGGTCACCATGCAGGCTGTTCTGGACTTTCAGCACCAGAAATGTTGCCATCTCTGTCTCCATCTCATTGGTGGCCAGCAGGATGTTGATGACATCCATCGGTAAGGGGTCATTCTCCAGGAGGATTTGTGCAGCAGCCAGACGAGAGGTCTTCTCATAGTTCTTCCTCTTCTCATGGAAAATCCTCCTCATGGCTCCTTTCACCTGAAGTGAGTGAGCAAGAAAAAGGGTGCTATGATGTGCAAATGGCCCTGGATTGGTCAGGCACTGGAATATTGCCCAGGGAGGTGGTGAAGTCACCATCCCTTGAGGTGTTTAAGAGGTGTCTGGAAGATATGGTTTAGGGGTTACAGCAGTGACAGGTCAATGATCAGACTTGATGACCTCAGAGGTCTCCTCCACCCTTGCTGATTCTATAAAATGCACCCCAATGACTTTGAGTGGCAAGAGGAGCACCAAAGCCTCAGCAGCTTTGTTTCCTACCTTGCTGGAGCTGTGCTGAGCAGGGAATCTCCTCAGGGCAGAGATGGCTGCAGTGGTGATGGCACTGGGACCCTCCTCAGCATGGTCCAGGAGGATGGGGATGGCTTCAGGGAGCTTTGCATTCCCCAGGGCCAGCAGGTAAATCAGCACCTCAGATTCCTCCTTGGCACCTCTTAGTCCCCTGAGGATGGTTTCCACCCCATGCTTCACCACCTGCTCGGGGTTTGCAGAAGGGCAGGAGAGGAGGAGAGGGAGGTGAGGAACAGGAGACATTCTGGGCACCCCTAGAGTTGGGGGTGTGTACAAGAAGGCAAGGTGAGAGTTTGCAAAGGACTTACCTGTAGCTCACACAGCTCCTGCTGGCACAGCTTGCCCACCAGAGAGCCCACAGCAAGCATCCCTGTCTCCCAGAGCTCAGGGGGCAGCTGCTTCCCACCCAGCTTGTCCTGAGGAGCAGGAAAGGGGGGATAGGAAGGGAAAAATGGGGAAAAGGGAGAAGGAGATGTTTTACCTCTTTCTCAAACTGTTCATCAAACAAGCAAGGAAAAATTAGTTGTTCCCTGCTTTGAAGGACACCAGGAATGTTTTCACTGGGTAAAACACTGATTTTTCACAGTGGCTTTTAATTTAACTTTCATGGTGTGTAATGTATTGATATAAAGCTCTTATTGCTGATGCTTTTCCTCTGAGAAGCATCCACTCCCATCACGAGTGACCCATTACAAGCACATCAAACAATCCCATGAGCAGGAAGGTCTATTTCTAAGGACACACATTTTCCTGTCTCAGGAAAACACACCTGCTGTTCCCTCCTGCCCAAATGGGGTGAGGATCCAACCTGGTAACCTCAGGGAAGGAGAGGAATGTTTGCCCTTACCAAGACCAAGTGGAGGAGCTCTCCTGAAGGCCTGGGAGAGAAAGCTGCTGCATAGAGAAACTTCTCCAGGAGGGACTTGGGCCCCTTGCTGAAATCCAGGAAGTCTGAGAGAGCTGCCAGGGAAGCCACTGACTGTGCAGCCACTGCTGCCTCCACCAGGAAGGGGCTGGAGCAAGAAGAGGAAGGACATCAGTGCCATGACCCACACAGCCAGGCAGTGTTCGTACAGAGTGGACACTAAATAAAACCAGAGAACACTGGCACAAGGCAGGATGGTGCCTGGACCAGCACCAAATGGCCCAAGTTGCTGGGGCCAGGAATAACAGAATCACAGAATCATCCAAGTTGGAAAAGACCTCTAAGATCATCAATTCCAACCTGTGACCCATCACAACCTTATCAACTAGACCAGAGCACTGAGTGCCACATCCAGTTGTTCCTTGAACACCTCCAGGGATGGTGACTCCACCACCTCCCTGGGCAGCACATTCCAAAGTTTATCAACCCTTTCCATGAGGAAATTCCTCCTGATGTCCCACATGTCAGGGCTCTGCATGACCAGAGAGCTCCTGGAGTCTCACCATGCCTCCTCTGGAGCTCTCCTCAGCAGCTGCAGCACATCTCTCTTCTTGGCACTCTGCAGCATCTGGATGAACCTCTGGAACTGCCACGTTGTCGCTGCCTTTGAGGTGTCTGTTTTGAGTCTCAGCCCATCCAAACCCTTCAAGTAAGCTCTGAGCTGCAGGGATGAGGTTTGTTGGGTTTGATTTAGCCTCTTTCCCCCCATTACCATTGGATAATGTTTACCCTGGGGAAATAGCCCCATGGGGTCATGCGGCCTCCTGCAGGCATCTCCTGCAACCTCACAGCCTCACTGTGCTGAAGACCAAGTGACCTAATTTGTTATCTGTTCCAGGAGAAGAGCAGGAGAACCTGTGAGCATTATGTTGCTGCCATTCCAGATCCCCTAGGTGAACAACCTGGAGGATTTGGAGAGGCAGAAATAACCCCTTGTTTGTCCTCTCTGACTTGCAGTGGGAATGCTTCCTGCTCTTGGAGCTGTGTTGAGTTCAACCCAACTGTGTGTGCTCCTAGGGCCACATCCTGCCTTGGCAGTGTAACCAGTCCCTCCAAAAGCACCACCATGGTTCACCCCCAAATCTCACAGCCTCCTCCTGCCCAGTTTGGTGAGTTTTGGGGGTAAGTAGCATCACTGACCGAGGGGCAGTGAGTGCAGACCCTCCTGAAGGGCAGACTGGCCATGCCCAGGGGCTGGTGCTGTGTCTCCATCCCAGCCAGCACATCCACAAGGCTTTGTCCAGACACCTCTGCTGGGCCAGGCTCTGGGGGAGACATGAGCTGGAGCTGCTGTCTGTGGAGGGAGGAGAAGTCGTTGGGAAGTGCTTTGGTGTTTCCACCCTCCAGGGCTCATGGTAGGGTTGATCACTCACCTGGAGCTGATTTTGATGCTGGAGGTGGATCTCAGGGCTGGAGCCACCACATGACTTTCCTCTGCCAGGACTGACTGGAGGAGGCTGTCCTTCACCACATAGTGGCTTGTGCTTCTGGGCTGCCACTCCACCCCAAAGAGCTTGAGAAAGGACAAGCAAGGAGAAAAAAAATCCAGCTTTTCTCTCTTTCCTCCCCAGGAGATTCCTCTCCTCTCTATTAGCACCCAAAGCACTTTCCAGTCCAGATAACAAGGATGGGGATGAGAGGATCCAGGACTTTTCTGCTCCTGCCACCTTGAAACCACATGCTCCTCCCAAGGCAAGTTTGTGCATCCCACCTTGTTGATGGATCTGAGTGCCATCCCAAGCTGACACAGAAGGCTGGAGCCAGCTGGGAATAGGAGTCACAGCTCACCCACAGGAAGGTTTTGGGGATGGCCCTGATGTACTTGCCATGAGCTGAGCCACCATGGTGAGAGCAATGCACTTGCCTTGTTTACAGAGGTGAATCCAGATTTGGGCTTGGTGCAGTTGAGCAGATCTTTTGTCTTGGTGATGGAGTGGTTGGACACAGAGTAGGTGACTTGGCAGCTCCCTGAGGTGTCCTCCTGAAACACAATATAAGTGACCATGGGAAAGGGTGATTGGTTTGTTTCAGGGTGATCAGAGCCATCTGTATAGAGGACAAAGGACATCCTGATAAACAGAAAATTACTCAAAAAGCTAGAAATTGGGTCAAATCTGGAGGTTGGATAGCTCTAAGTCCATCTGGGCATCTTTGCAAGCTCAGGCTAACACCAGCAGCAGCATCTTTGTGCTGCACTTTGAGTTCTGAGGTTAGTCCATGTTAGTCACAGGCCACTGCAGCCTCAGCTGAGTTCTGCAGGGAGGGAAGGAGAGAGGGATTTCCCTGACATTTGCTGGCAAAGCCAACCCCACTTGGCAGGAATGTTTGGGGAGTTTGTTCTCACCATTCCTCCTATCCAGGGAGAGTCTATGAAAGAAAAGCAGCTAGAGATTATTTTGTCTCCTGCCTTTCTAACAGTTATCATTGCTCATAGCCCACTTGGAGCTGTTTAACCTGCACTTTGCCTCCTGTGCTGGTTGTGCTCCAGGACCAGCTCCCCTGGCGGATCCTGCCCTTGAGGCAGGGTCTGTGCCCAGCTCTGCACTCACCTCCATGGTAGTACCAGCATGGGCCTGCAGCTGGAGCAGACTGATGACTCCCCTCTTCAGGTTGGAGACCAGGATGCTTTCTGCTGTGCTCCCATACAAGGCTTTGACCTAGGAGGACAAGAGGTGGCTTAGGGGATGTCTCTGAGGTCCCTGCAGGCTCTCTGCTACTTTCCTTGCCCAAAGACATCTCTCCTGCACCTTAAGCAACACCCTGTAGACAACTGAAGAGTTGTCTCAGGGAGGCACACATCCCTCAATGCATGAGCTCTGTGGGCACTCACAAACCTCCCTTTCCTCCCCACTCTGATTTTCCAAAGCCTTAGGGGAGAAGGTAAAAAAGAAGCTTATATCCCATGGTTAGGACTGAAGGATGATGCAGCTCCAGCTGAGCCTCTTAGAGGATGAGGCTCCATCTCTAGGGTCATACTGGACCCCATGGAAGACCATATAGTCTCTCTGGACACTGACCACTCTGTCCAGTTCCTTTCTATGAAATCAGAGGTGGAGCAGGAGGTTCTTACGGGTTTCACAGCTGGGGAAATGTGGGCTGTGGGCAGGAGAGCCTTGCAGAGGACATAGACAAGCCCAGGAGATGTCCACTGACCTTTCCACCATTCCAGGAGAAGAACATTGGCTGCTGGAGCTCTGCCTGTGCCTCCTGGCTCAGTATAACCTCTGCAGGGGAACCTCCAGGGCCATCCTGCCTCCTCTTCTCTTCTGCCTTGTGTTGGACTTTCAGGGCATGGATCTGGGATAGCAGAAGATGCAGAAAGCAGTGACCAAGTGTGTCTGCTCTGAAGTTGGTATGTATTTCATACACACTTAACAGCAACCTGCCAGGATCTGAAGGGGCTCCAGGGAAGCTGCAGAGGGACTTTGTGTTAGGAGCTGCAGTGACAGGACAAGGAGTAATGGGGAGAAACTGCAAGAGGGAAAGTTAGATTAGATATTAGGAATAAGTTTTCCCTGTGAGGGTGGTGAGACACTGGCACAGGTTGCCCAGGGAGGCTGTGGCTGCCCCAACCCTGGCAGTGTTCAAAGCTAGGTTGGATGAAGCCTTGAGCAACCTGTTTTGGTGGGAGATGTCCCTGTCCAGGGCAGGGGGTTAGCACTGAATGATCTCTAAGCTCTATTCTAACCCCTTCACATCTTATGATTTCACCTGCAGATGATAGATTTTGGTCAGAGAAGACATTTTTCAGATGGTTTGGGCTAGAAAGGGAAGGGGGCTATACCTTCTGGGATATTCCCAGGAGGAGCACCCAGCTATGGTGGCTTTCCCACCCCACACACCTGCACCTGGAGCAGCTCTTCCCTTCCTTGGTCCCTCCAGAGCTGGTGCAGATGGACCAAGGCCTCAGCCTTCAGCCAGGCTCCCCACGGGGATGGTGTGGAGGTGTGATCCAGCTGGACATGCAGGGTGTAGCGGTACTGGTACAGGGTCCCAGGCTGGAATGAAAGGGGCTGCAAACCCCCTGTGGAAATATGCAGATGTTTGAGATACAGTCACAGACCTCAGTCCCCCCTCTTGCTGCTCCCAGCACTCTCCATCCTCCAGAGGCCCTGCAAGGAGGCTTGGGAGCTGCATCCCTGCCTCCTAGAGGTAATCAGCATAAGATTAAAGCAGGGAGTTTTAAATCTGCCCCACCAAGTTCATTTTGTTTTAGCACAAGGTCTGCGCTGACTGGTTTGGTCATGGCAAAACCAACCCTTCCCCCTGCAATCAAAGCTGCATATGAGCAAGAGAAAGAGCCTTAATAATCTGGGATAATTCCAGATGGATAAGATTAAAGCAGGAAGTTTTGAGTTAAATCTGCCCCCCCTCAAGTTCATTTTGCCTTAGCCCAAAGTTAGTGACTTGATGAAGAGTTGAAAGTTAGATGGAAGCACAGCATGGGAAAGATAAGGACTCTCTTTTCCCCTAAAAATGCTAATTGTGCCCTGTTTCATGCACAATGCTAAGAGTGCACTGTGACATGTCTATCCTGCCTGTGGACATGCTCAGGGAACTTCACTTCAGCATTAAAGTGTGTTTCTCTGTTTCTAAAAGCCCTGAAGTCCCCAGGCAGAGCTCCCACTGCAGCCAGCAGTGGGAGGGCTGGGAACACAGGCAGTGATCAAACTACCTTGAAAACAGCCAAACAGCCAAGCACAGGCAGAACTAATTCCTCATGGTACCCTTCCTATCACAGAATCAGTTTGGAAGGGACCACAGTGGGTCATCTGGTCTCACCTCCCTGCCCAAGCAGGGCCATCCTAGAGCCCAGGATTGTGTCCTCCAGTGTATCCAGAGTATCTCCAGTGAAGGAGAATCCATGACCTCTCTGGGCAATCTGCTCAGTGCTCAGTGACTGCACAGGGAAGTTCTTCCTTTTATTCAGGTGGGACTCCCTGGGAGTCAGTTTCTGCTGTTCCCTCTTGTCTTACTGGTTTCCACAAGTGAGAAGAGTTGGTTTGAAAGTGAAAGGAATGGATGGGAATCCAACTCGCTCCCTGGGGATTTTCTTCTTGGGTTAGGCTCAAGAGTTCTTACAGTTCTGCACTGTGTGCACTTTAAGAAGCTCCAGCTCTTGGTTTTTCCTCACCCTCAGGGAGGAATTCCGCGATTCCAAAGGTTTTCCTGCCTCGGGGGATGCTCACGCTGATCCCAAACATTTCCCTGCCCAGGGAGATACTCAGGCTGATCCCAAAACTTTCGGATCCCAAAGCTTTCCCTGCCCCCTGCCTCGGGGGATGCTCAGACCGTTTGCAGTTAGGCACTGACTCTTCCCTCCCTGGCTGGAGCTCGGGGAGGCCTTGCATTCCCTCGAGCCAGGGAGGCTCTTTGTGCCCTGTGCTGAGCGTTTTGCCACTCTGGACATCCAATCCATCGTGTCCCTGGCCTCAAATCAGCCCAAAGCCTCTTACCTTGTGCTGTGCTCATGAAGGAACAGTAAAGCAGGCAAAAGCATCCCCAAAGGGCCTGTGGGTTCATGGTGGGAGCTGGGCAGGAGGGAAGGGGTGGGAGAGGGACCACACAGGCGTGGGGACGATTAGCAGTGTCAGGCGCTGGCTCCTGACCTCCCCCTCTCCCCGCCTCATATCCCAAGGGAAAGCGAACAATAAACCTTTGTCCCGTCCCCTGCAGCCTCGCAGGGTTTGGAAATCGGCGCAGGTTTGCCAAAGTCCCGCGGGAGGGGAGGGGAGCTGGAAAAGAGGTGCCAGGAGCAGTGCGGGGTGGAGAAATGGCCAGTTTGCCTTGCTAGCCCCACGTGGGTATATATGGAAAGGGATGCTCAGAGCATGCTCTGGCCCTTCGTGGTCCATTCCCACCAT